AGATACATCCTTAGAAATACAGCTACAACTGATATTCCTTGGTGGCTTTCCATTCCAGTATCTACTAACCACAATTGACACTGTTTAACTTCCAAGATCAGACAGAATATTTAGACAGTCCCATAGTACTATCCCTTTATTTAATATAAATGATACCATCACAGTTTCCAGCTAACTATAAGAGTACCTTGTAATAATATTTTTCAGCAGATTAGAAGTGAACTGTATCTGAGAGAGAATTTGCACACCAAACAATTACCAAACACAGACGTGACTATGGGCTATGATTCCAACATGGAAATTTACAGGAAGGTGAGAAGGAACACTGCCCCACTGCTATAGACTACTGCTGCAAAATTCAAGTTTGTGATCCTATGTGGACTGCAAAACACAAAACAAATTAATTCTCCTCCTAAAGGGATAGGGACAAGTCCTTAATATACCTTGCGGTCCGGCCCTTAACAACAAGAGCAGAAAAACACACATACAGGTTCTGAAATAGTAAGCTAACAGTTAAACACAGATGCGATTCCTTTTAAAACTAGTCTGAAATACACACAGTTCAATTAATCACAGCTTAATGCTATGTCTGAATCTGGATAAACCATGGTTAGTTTTGATTATGGCATGCTAAAGCAAGTTCATTTCATAATTCATTGTTAGGCCAAGGTATAATCTTCCCAGATTCAAGGTAATTAATGGGTAATGGAAGTGAAAGTGCCAGAGAAAAAGAGAGCAGAAGAAAGAAAGGAGTGCTAGCGGAAAATCCTCCACCCAATTGTACCATGGTTTTCCACTGACTCCCCTATCTCAAATTCACATTAAGAAAGAAATAAGCCTAGGAAGAACCAGATTGTAGGTTTTCCCAGCCTGTCTAGTTTGGTACTCATTCAAGCAGCCTGTTCCCGCAGACAGCAACTCATAAAACAGTTTGTTGCAGGGCATAGAACTGTAACACTCATCAATCTTAAACAGCGCAATCAATCAGTCTCAAAGGCACTACAAGATTCCTCTCCATACTGATCCACACCAAATTGGCTATATCTTTAAATTTCAGCACTATCAATGATAAGAGACTTTGGGAGTTCCAAAAGGTATGAAGAAACATAGCTATTCGCCACTAAGGGAAGGATATATCAATAATTACCAAACTACAAAGTGTTGTGAGCTATATTTCAGAAAAAAAAAACTGGTAAACCCACCACTGAATTGTCATTTCCCAAGAAAAACCTATGAAACCCATGGGGCATGCAGAAGTCAACAGGTGACTTGAGGCACGTACACACACAAGAATACATAGATCTGCAGCTCAAGAGGCTCAGAAACAGCTAGGAGGAAAAACACCAAGGATAAAAGTAATAACTAGAACAGGATTACACTAAGATTGCCAACCTGGACCTCTGTAACTCAAGGCAAGGCAAACAGACAATAAATTGGGGACGCTTTTCCCAGCATGGACATATAATGCTGCTGCTTCTAGATTTCTGACTCTATGGATGCATCTACATTTAGAACGAATGCAGTTTGACACCACTTTCACTGCCATGGCTCAATGGGAATTATGGGAGATGTCGTTTTGTGAGGTACCAGCACTCTTTGGAAGAGGAGACGAAAAGACCTTGTAAAATCACAGCTCCCATGACCCCATAGCACTGAGCCACAGCAGTCAAAGTAGTGTCGAACTGTATTAATTCTCCAACACGGATGCACCCTTAGTGTGCTGTATTAGGCACAATGTACTGCAACTTTGAGTTGGTGGGACTTTGGAAAATCACATAACTTTAAGAGTTGAAAGGGTTATTTATTAGGGCTGAGCAGTTTCGTTTTGTAATTTCGTAATTCGTTAAAAATTCGTTGTTTTTTTTTTGGGTTAACGAAGCGATAACGAACCATTCAGGAGCATCTAAAAAACGAAACGAATTTTTAAATTCGTTCCGTAATTGTTTCGAATTCGTTTTGTATTCGTTTTGTTATCGTTTTGAAATCGTTTCGTTATTATTTCCGCATGTCTGGGGCAAGTTTTATAGTTGTTGTTTGTTTAATCAGTGAAAATATCACACCAACAGTCAACAACAGAGGGAGAGGGAAGCTTCAGAAGTTCCCCCTGTCCCATTTGGAGTTTTTTTAGCGTATTGCACGGTCGCGTCCGCCATTAACGAATCGATTCATAATTGTTTCGTAATTGTTTCGTATTGTTTTGTGATTTACGAAATTTTGTAAATATCGAATGTTTTTAAAGAAAAATTTCGGAATTCTTTTAAATAACGAAACGCAAAAAACCCCTAAAAACGAATCGAGTTTAGAAACAAATTTTTCCGTGGTTGGACAGCCCTATTATTTGAGGCCACCTAGTTCAACCCCCTGCCCATCATATAGCACAAGTCTTGCTTACCCAACCCCTGGCAGGAGTCTTTCAGATCAAGCTGAAGCATATTTACTTAGGATTAAGTGTGAACAAGTGTCCCTATGATATCAGCCTTCCAATTCTTTTCAAAACGCATATGCAGAGAGAATTAGATTCCTTTGGGGGGCAGGGTTATAAGAGGCTCCTAGGAGAAGATTTCAAAGATTAAAGAAACAATCCCTACAGACTTTTTAAAGGACAGTTAGTTCCCCCTGCTGCATGCTCCCTTCTAGGGTGAGACATATGCCTTGGGAGCGAGAAAGCAAACAGCTGATGATCTAATTTTGAGAACATGCAGCTTTATTGCATTCAGGCCCCAGGAGAAATCAGAATAAGACATCAAAATTGAAAGAGAAGAAGACATACACATGTAAATTCTTTTGGGAATACTATACCCACCCACTCTGGGAAGCCTGAATACTATAGCTTTTGGAATACATTTCACAACCAGCTAAGCTCAAGCAAGGTAGTTTTCGTCATTTGAGAAATTATTATTATTGTTATTATTGTTATTATGCTTATTTATACCTGAACAAAAGAGACTAAAAGAAGATTACAGTAAAACTAATGGAATACAATTAAAAACCTAAAAATATACAAACATTAAAACAGAATTGAATATTAACAGTATTAAAAATTTAATATTATTATTATTATTATTATTATTATTACTATTAAAACTATTCCTAACCCCTGACTGGTTCTTTAAAACTTCCTTCTTCTTTTTTTAAAAAAAATATTTTATTGTAAACACAATAGTGTCAAAATCAGTCAGCATTACAAAATAAATATCAATGTTATTTTCTTAATATTCTTGACCTTGCCGATTCCATTTTTATCTCCCACTTGTGTCTATCGAAAAACAGTATGTTTATTACTGCTCAATATAAGCTCATACAGAATATTTTTAGTTTTGCTACCATGTAACTTTTCCATCATTACCAACCAACTCATCACAAACATGAGCACCTGGTGGCACAATGGGTTAAACCCTTGTGCCAGCAGAACTGAAGACTGACAAGTCACAGGTTCAAATCCGGGGAGAGTGCGGATGAGCTCCCTTTGTCAGCTCCAGCTCCCCATGTGGGAACACGAGAGAAGACTGCCACAAGGATGGCAAAACATCCAAAACATCCAAGTGTCCCCTGGGCAACGTCCTTACAGACTGCCAATTCTCTCACTCCAGAAGCAACTTGGGAGTTTCTCAAGTTGCTCCTGACACAAAACAACAACAAAAACCCCATCTCAGGGTGAATCTACACTGTAGAATTAATGAAGTTTGACACTACTTAATCTGCCACAGATCATGTTATGGAATCATAGAAGTTGCAGTTTGGTGAGGCACTATCACACTTTGGCAGAAAACCCTAAAGATCTTGCAAGACTACAACTCCCAGGATTCTGAAGTATTAAGCCACTGCAAGTACTGTAAAACTGCATTAATCTCACAAGGTAGATGCACTCACAGGCTGAAAACACAGATGAGTAAACACACCCTAGCAGGCTCACATTTTGTGGGCACTAGTGGGCTGGAAAGACTGGCATTCTGACTCAGACTGAAGGCATTTCATGTATATCCAAAACAAAAAAAAGTCCACAGTGAGCAACCAAGCTACCACTCTGTGTTGTTGTTGTTGTTGTTTTCCAGTTTCCTCACAACTAAAACCATACCAGAGATGCATCTCCACTGTAGAATACATGTGCCTTGACACCACTTTGACTGCTATGGAACAAGAGGACTTATAGTTTATAAGATTTATAGCAGGCGCGGGCAAACTTCGATCCTCCAGGTGTTTTGGACTCCAACTCCCACAATTCCTAACAGACTGGTTGTGAATTGTGGGAGTTGGGGTCCAAAACACCTGGAGGGCCGAAATCTGCCCATGTCTGAACTATAGTCCTCTCTGCCAAAAAATGTTGCTCTTTCACCAAACTTGGCTTCCACAGCATTGAGGCATGTGTCAAATTGCATGGACTCTACAGTGGAGATGAACTTCTCAATCCTGACAGGGGAGGGCAAAATCCACATGGGGCATCCCCCTCTCTCCTTTCTTTCCTCCTTCCTTTCTTCCCTTTCTCACTGCCTTCCTCCCTTCCTTCTTTCCTCCCTCCCTTTCTTTTCTCATTTCCTCTCTTCCATTCTTCTTTCCTTCCTTTCTTCTTTCTTTCATCGCTTCCTTCCTCCCTTTCATTCTTCCATCCTTCTTTCCTCCCTTTCATTCTTCCTTCTTTCCTCCCTTCCTTCTTTCCTCCCTTTCATTCTTCTGTCCTTCCTTTCCTCCCTTTCATTCTTCCTTCTTTTCTTTTCTTCTTTCATCCCTCCCTCCCTTCTTTCGTTCCTTTCTTCTTTCCTCCATCCCTTCCTGCTTTCCTCCCTTTCATTCTTCCTTACTTCCTTCTTTCCTCCCTCCCTTCTTTCTTTCCTTCTTTCCTCCCTTCCTGCTTTCCTCCCTTTCATTCTTCCTTCTTTCTTTCCTCCCTCCTTCCTTTCCTACCTTTAATTCTTCCTTCCTCCCTCCCTCCCTCCATTCCTTTCTTCTTTCCTTCCTTCCTCCCTCCCTTCTTCCTTCCTCCTTTCCTGCCTTCCCTCCCTTACCGAGGCAGGCTCCGGTGACGAGGGCGGTGGCGGTGAGGGCGCCGGCGGAGGCTCCGTAGACGGTGCGGGCGTTGGCCACCAGGAAGGGCGCGTGTTCCTGGAGGCAGCTGGCCACCCCGATGTGGTAGACCCCCAGGAAGCCGCAGCCCGCGAAGGAGATGTTCCAAGACGAGCCCGGAGGGTACATCGCCGGCGCCTCGCCTTCCTCCTTCGCAAGGAGGGACGCAGCCAGGCGCCTCAGGGACACCGAGCCAAGGAGGCAGGCCGAGGGGCTGCTGCTGCTGGGGCGTCTGCTTCTGCCTCTTCCCGTTCGCTGCGGTGCACCTGACTGGCGCTGTTTTGGAGGGACAGCCTTATATGGGGCGGGAGGAGTGGGCGGAGCTCACAACCCGCCCTGCCTCACACGCAAGGACGGGCAGCCCACGGAAGCAGGCCGGGCAAAGGCCTCTCGCCCGCGCCCCCTCCCTCCTCCCCCCCCCTCCCTCGGGCCTCAGGGCCTGGGCGGCCTTTCCTGGAAAGCCCGGGGGCGTCTGCGGAGGCCTCCAATGGGCAGGCGCGCCTTGAGGGAATGCCTGCACTGTCGCAGGAAAGCGGTTTGACGCCACTTGGGCTGCCCTGGCTCAATGCGGTGGGAGTTGCGGCTTCTATAAGGCACTGCTAGTGGCTTCCTTCTCGGGCTCTTGAGGAAGGAAGCCTACCTCACAGTGTCTCCATGGCAACCGTGTGGTAACTCGTAACAGGCTCTCTTTGCGGCACTTTACGACCTCCTTCCCCCCTCATACAGCTTCTCCCTTTCACTTCCTTTCTTCCCTTGCTTTCGCTCATACAATTCCTCCTTTCATCTTTCCTCTCTTTTCTTTCCTCACACTTTGTCCCTTCCTTTCTCTTCCGTTATTTCTTTCCTCCCTTCCCCTTTTCTGTTTCTTTCTTACCCTCCCTCCCTTTCTCCTCCCTTCTTTCTCTTCCTGACCTCCCCTCCTCTCATTTCCCCCTTTCCTTTCTGTTTCTTTCCCCTCCCTGTCTTTCCTTCTTTCTCTTCCTTTCCTCCCCTTTCTCCTTTCCCCCTTTGCTTTCTGTTTCTTTCCCCTCCCTCTCTTTCCTCCCCTCCTCTCCTTTCCCCCTTTCCTTTCTGTTTCTTTCCCCTCCCTGTCTTTCCTTCTTTCTCTTCCTTTCTGTTTCTTTCCCCTCCCTCCCTTTCTCTTCCCTTCTTTCTTTTCTCCCTTCCCCTCAAACCTTTCCCCTGAAGCAGGCTTTTCTTTTCCCTGAGCAATTGCTCAAAGGCTCAGCCAAAATGCTTTCTTTCAGTTCAATTGCGGACGCAGATGAGTCAGGAAAAACAGCCAACTGGGTACAGCAAGAATATCAAAGTTTATTATAGCAGCTGCTAGTTGGCTTTCCGACGCAACAAGGCGTCTCTGGGGAAAGCCACACCATCACAAAAGGTAGTGTTGTTTTATACATGCAAAGGGGTTCGGCCTTAAGAGCTGCCCCAAAGATTAAATCATTGGTTAAGAAAGCTGTCAATATTATATTTATGTTAAGCAATTAGCTCATACACTTTAAGTTTCGCTTCTCAATAAGCAAGCCCCCTTTTGGAAACATCTCAAGATGCTGATATGCTAATATAGCTGGGGACAGCTGCTGATCTTGGCAAGCTTAATTTAGCCTTGGCTAGTTCCTCTCTGCCAAAAGAGGGGCCGACCAAGGGCAAGATGGATGGATGGCATCCTTGAAGTGACTGGACTGACCTTGAGGGAGCTGGGGGTGGTAACGGCCGACAGGGAGCTCTGGCGTGGGCTGGTCCATGAGGTCACGAAGAGTCGGAGACGACTGAACGAATGAACAACAAGTTCCTCTCTGCAAAGTCAGCATGTCTCTTGACCGAAAATTTACCCCTTTACAAAAAACTCTCTTTGGCACCAAAAGCCTGTCTTTGTCTCCCATATATGGTCAAGTCCATCCGTTCTCTTTTCTCTATGAAAACCTTGGCATTTTGTAAAACTATAGCTATATTTTCTGAAGAGCCTACAGAACAAAATTGAGGGGTATTTGCCATCACAACTATTAGGTCCATTGATCTATAAAAATATGGGATCTGATCCTGCCTTATTCCCACATTTTCTTTTTTGCGAAGCGGTTTACAAAAGCGAGAGCAAATCAGCAAGGGTTATATACTATGGATCTCTCCAATTATGCCCTTTGATGAGAGCTATCTTCTCTATTGAAGCTGCCTGATGCATATATCTCTGGCAAACTTGAAGCAAAATTGGAAAACAGCACATTAGCAACAGAAAGACAAAACCGCATAGCATAATCACAAGTATTATTTCTCTAAGCCATGATACTGAAGGAAGCAGAGACGTCAACCATGAGAAAGGTTGCCATCTATCTAACTTTACATTATGATTTATTAACTCTTGCAATTTTTCCAAATCATCTTCAATTGTTTGGTTCAGATTATGAAATTGGACCACGCACTGGCCCTTTATTACAGAACAGAATCCTCCTTTTGTTGCCAACAAATAATCTAGGGCTAGCTTGTGTTGCATTGTCATTTGGCTTAGTTCTTCAATTTCTGATTGCAACTGCCTAACTATTTTCCCTGTGGCATTTATGCTTTTCTCTAATCTACATGTGAGTCCCATGATACTTTTCCTGTTTTCTTGGGCCATTATTCCAGGATAGGACCCGAGGGTTAGGAGCCCTGTTATTAATCCTCCTCCTACCCTTGAGCCTTCAGTTTCGGACAGTTGTGAGTCTATAATCACTTCGTCTGAGCACTCAGGTCCTAGGGGTGCTATGGCTTTCAAAGATCTCTGAAGCCTCCTAGGGTGTTTAAGGACTCGTACAGGGAATGTCAGGTATCCTACCCCAACACACTGGTTTCCTCCTGGATGAAAATTGGTTGCCCATTTATCAAAGAAAAACCACATATTGGGATCTCTAATATGCCATCCTGAACAAATACTGCCTCCATTTCTCAGGGACGTGTAATTTGACTCAAACAGTGGGTACTCAGGGTATAGTTCTTTCCAATCCGTGTCTGCCAAATTTTGTTTGTTAACATATGTAGAGTTATAGGTTCCATACAAATAAAACTTGTCCTGACAGTGAGTGTAATTTGTCAACCTTGTTAGGAAGGCTTTTCTGTGTTCCCAGCCTTTCCATTTTTGATTCCATGTACCCTTGTTTGCACAACAAAAACACATTCCCCTCGTGGTGGCAGTATATCTTATTCGTCTGAATTTAATGTGTTTTAATCCATCGGGGACCTGGGAAAATATGGTGGGATTTTGAATAGTTCCTTGTAACCCCCCGAGCACCACCTGGGGGTCGGCTATTAGTGTAGGGAGGAAAGAGAAGTCACCTACTTTCTCTGGATGTTCATATAGGAGTGCCACATCTTTTCCATGCTGATCAAACATGAATCTGGCATGTTCTTTTAGCCAATTTCCCTGTATCATAGTGATCATGTTTATAAGCATCATGTACCCGAAAAACTCCAACTGGTTTTCTAGGGCACCCTTCCCTCCTCCCCATTATAATTTCTATCCACCACTTCCAAGATAGGGCTTTCGTTGGGCCACGCTGCGTCATACTTGACCTGCGACGATCTGTTGTTCCCGAAGAGGTCAACTTCATGGCCTTGTTGACCCCGCAGGGAGTTGCCGGATGATCCTGAGTCTCAGGTCACTCTGATCTGCCTTTTTTATCTCCCACACGGGGGGTGCCAGCTTGGCACGGGTATAATGTATCCAAGGCTTAACTTCCTTCACTTTAATGGCAGTAGGGGTTGATATCAGCACAGTATAGGGCCCTCTCCACCTAGTGGGTCCTAGTGGGTCAATTGGGGTCCTAGTGGGTCAATCTTCCACTCCTTCACAAGTACCTCGTCACCTGGCGAAAAACAATGCAAAGGTGTGGTAGGATAGGGTGGATTTAACTCTGAAGTATATTGT